ATTAACCCACAACAAAGTACTTGCACTACTTAGGATTCTTAAATTTGTAATTGTTTTTGTTTGAAGCAATAAACGCTAGTTGTTACGCAATGAATGTGAACACGCGATATTAAGTTTTAATACTTACTAAACTTTCATATAAGCATTAAAAATGAGAATATTATCTAGCATCTTGTCATTAAGAGACGAACATTTTTTGCAAGCTTGAAAAATAGAAAAATCTGCTGTGATAAATTTATTGCAGGGATTCCTGGTAATAAAATGCACATGGAAGCAACTGTCATAAGATATGGAGCAGTAGAATGTGGTAGTTAAAAGCATAGATGCTGGGAGCCAACTGTTTGAGTTAAATTCTAGTTCTGCCACATACTAGTTGTGTGAACCTGGACTAGTTAACCTCTCTGTGCTTCAGGCTCCTCGATTCTAAAATGAGGATAATAAGAGAAAGTACTTCCTATGGTTCTTTCGAGGAATACATAAAGCAATTAAAACAGTGCCTAGGAAAGAGTAAACACTCAATAAATGTTAGCTGTTCTTACTTAATCTGTATTAATTTTATTTGTAAAAATATTAGGATTAATATTAGTATGAGTATTAGTAATATTCCAAGGAATAAAGATATTACACATAGATATTAGGGAACTAAAGATAACTAGGGCACAATATGTAAACCACAGCTCGAAACTGGCAAGAAACTATACTCCAAGAGCTTATAACCAAATTTCTGAAGTTTTATGTTGCTTAGAGTGTACATAGCCACAATATTTATGCTTTTGACAAATTATGCACATTGATGTTTTCCATGACACAGTCCTATAAGGCATGACATTACAGTGACCAACCAATGACTCTTCTAATAGAGTACATATACAGGACAGGGTTTTAACTAGCCACTACATGGAGTAGTGCCTAAGAATATTTGAGATTAAGAAATATTCTATCTTCACTCAAATCACAGCCAATTAAGCTATTATCACTTTACCCTAAAACCTAATGAGAAGACTTACAACCTGATTCATATATATTGTCTTCCTTGTTGCTGTCTCCTTTTCCTTTGCTCCAATCTATTTAAAATGCCTTTCATGAAAATGAATTTCCATACTGCGCTCTTTGGCCATGTGATTGAACTACAGAACTGTTTAGTAGATAGGCAAGCTTCTTTTCTCTGCTCAGCTTTACAACTTCTATCAATAGTTAATCACGGAATCACTTGTCCAGATAGCTACCCTGTATTTCCATGGCCAACTCAAGATCCTTTATTGGTTCACTCATCTTTTCCTAAAATTTAGTTTGATTTATGTAGAAAGTAAATTTTTGGCCAGTAATCCACAACTGGATAATTTACATATGGCTCATCAAGAGTTGGCTGCATTCTAAAATGCAATTTGACAATTAAATTTAGGCTTTTCTAAACACAGACGTCTAATTTATTAATTTTCCTAATCTCACAAGGTAGTTGAAAATGGATAGAGTACATACATATTGTATGGCTCCATTTTGAGGAAAATATCAGAACTTTTTTGTTTTTATTTTTAAATTAAATCATTATTAATAATACATACTCACATTTGAATAATATAACATTTCCACTTCTTTACACACTAATCTACTTAACCCACAACAATCCTTTGAGCAGGACCCTATCATCGCATTTCATAGATAAAGAAATTGCATAGGCACCCATGATATAGATGTCATGAATAATTTTGTCAGGCTCTTGAAGAATTTTATGTTATTCTAGAGAAAAACCCATTAGTGAGAAGAGTGGTTAACTAAAATTAATATTCCAAAGTAAATTTTCAATCCCTTCAATACTGCTAATGCAGATTCTCTCCAGCCTAGAGCTCTCCCACTCTACGAACACGTTCTCCCATGGCCAAGGTGGCCAAGGTGTTTCTACCATACTTATTCCAAATATGCTAAGCCTGAGGGTGGGAGTGAGGATCTGCACCCTCCTATTCAGCTACCGAATGAATTCATACAGTATGCGTCAAATACGGTAATAACCAGGAACATGGCCTTTTATGGTTTTGCTAAACCTTCACCTGGTCTTGTAAAAAATATTTTCAAACTTTAGAATTTATTACCTAGTAACAACAAGGCATGGTATAACCACTTAACTAACTTGACCAAAATCAAATTTTAAATTATGTTTACATGCCATCTAAATGCCATTGTGGAGCCCTGGCTGGTGTGGCTCAGTTGGTTGGGCATCGTCCCATGCACAGAAAGGTTGCCAGTTTGATTCAGAGTAAAGGCATATGTCTGGGTTGCAGGCTGGATCCCCAGTAGCGAACATGCAGGAGGCAGTCAATCAATGTTACACTCTCACAGTGATGTTTCGTTCTCTCTCCTTCTCCCTTCCTCTCTCTCTACAAATCTTTAAGAAAAATAAAATAAATGTCAGAGTGAAAAGCAGTACAATATACCACTTGACAAATGGTGAAAATGTGCTGTATACAACTATAAGTGTACTTAAGAGTGACTTAAGAAAAACATTCAATTTTAGACATCTGCTAAAGTTTAGCTACAAAAGTAAATAAGCTGAGCCCTTTAACGTAAATCGAAGTAGCATTTAGAAAATGAAGTAGTTTTCTATTAGTTCTTCATGAAGCACAAAGACAAAAAGAATAACACTTCTTTTGCAGCAAAACTACTATATATAATTCGTTCAGAAATATATATATATCAGTAGTGTATATGTAGTGATGATTGGGAGGAAGATGGAGGGGACCATAGAATTTTATAAATAAAAAATTTAAAAACGAAAGGTATGTTACAATGCATTCCTATAGCAATACAGTAAAGAAAACAACATTCTATAGTTAGAACTGACTACATATATTTTTTAAAGTGTAAAGTTCAGAACACTGAAGTGTAAAGTCCAACCCTTGCTGGAGTGGCTCAGTTGGAACATTGTGCCATATGCTGAAAGGTCATGGGTTCTATTCCTGGTCAGGGCACACACCAATTTGTGGGTTTGATCCCCAGTTGGGGTGCTTATGTAAGGCAATCAATCGATGTTTCACTCTCACATGGATATTTCTCTCTCTCTCTCTCTCCCTCTCCTTTCAACTCTCTCAGAAATCAATAAAAACATATCCTCAGGTGAGGATTTAAAAAGAAATGTCTCTGTTAACTAGGGATTAAATTAAGGACTATCAAGTTTTTCTTTCCATCTTTTACTGAAGTTTCTTTTTTAATGTCTGAAGCACTTGTCTGGATTATTTATTATATATATATATTTAATATGTTTTTTAAATTGATTTTTTAGAGAGAGAGATAGAAACATCAGTGGGAGAGAGATACATTGATTGGCTGCCTCCTGCATGCCCCCTACTGGGGATTGAGCCCGGCCCTGACCAGAAATTGAACCAGGACCTCTCAGTCCATAGGATGACACTCAATCCCCTGAGCCACACCAACAGGGTAGCATTTGTCTGCTTTAAATGTGCATTATTCAAAATATAAAACTTGTAGATGATGTCATTTAACAGGATAAAAGCAACCATTATGATACATTTATTATATAAGAATGCAAATACATATAGAGAGAAATTCCAATAATAATGGAAATGTAGCTGCATATCTAAGACCACATCTGAAAGGTGTCTTCTAAACTAAACCCCTATTATCAAAATGGTTAACAAGAAATCCCACTGAATGTACTCATTTAGTCCCAATTAATTTTGGCTAACCTAAACTTTATGTACTCATTCTGCAAATATTTGTTAATCACCTACCATGAGCTAGGTAATAGAACTACACTGGGGAGGAAAATAATGATATATACTGGCCATTTGTTCTAATATTAACCAATATATAAACTTCCAGAATCATACAGTATTAATATTTTCATAAAAATATTTCCCCAAATGTGCATTATTTGGAATCAACAACTCATAATTCAATAATATTCCAAAGAGAAGTTCTAATAACGAAGAAGGTTATCTGGCACAGAAATATGCCAGCAAAAATGAAAGCGATATAATCTATTTCAGTAATCTTAAATCACACTGCCAAAATATGGAATTTAATGTCTTACATAATGCTTAAAGTATTTTTCTTTTAATCTATTCCCGATTGCCTTATTATATTAAAAACAAAAGAATTGATTTTTATATCTCTTGGCATTTTATGTGCTTTGATAGAAGACATTTTGCTTTATTAAACCACAATGTGTTTAGGCAGCACAAATGTATTAAAATATGCATCTTAAAAGTGAAGCGATCTCTTGCCAGCAGTTTTAATTCCCCATAATAATCAGAAGCTTTAGAAGTACTAAAATTGGTAAACTGGTAAGATATACAGGCATCTTATTGTGACCTTTTACATCCTCCCCCACATGTATCAGTAACTTTACCCTAGTCATATCTGGGGTACATATAAACACATAAACATCATGTGTCCCATTATTAAATATAAATATATAATTTTACCAAGTAGAAATTTCACATTCCTACTTAATTAAGCTCATTAAGATTAATAGGTAAGCAAAACTGTAAAAACCTCCATGTGAAGGGGAGGGGGAGGAGTAGAACTGGTAATGACTGCAAATATGTACAGGGTTTCTTTCGGGGGTGATGGGAATGTTCTAAAATTAGACTGTGGTGATGGTTGCACAACTCTGAATATACTAAAAGGAGCCAAACCGTATGCTTTAAATGGATGAATTTTATAGTATGTGAAATATATCTCAATAAAGCTGGGGGAGAAAACCCTCCCTATAAAAAAATGCATCAAGTTCCAGTCTCTAAAAGCATCCAATGTATTGCTTCCCTTATTGTCCAGTTATTATATCATCCATCATTTTATTTACTAAGGGAGCTATCAATTGTCAAGGTAGCAATGCAAAATATGATACTTCATTTTTGGACAGTAGCGTTATACATCAAGTCATTTAGTTTTGTCTAAGTCAGTGGGTGCTTTAAACAATGACTACTTTATATAATGTTAATACAAGCTAATCACTCCAAAAAATTCTACAGAGGTTCTTATACCTGGTAATCCAAAATGCTGAATCCCAAGCCTTTATGATCTTTCACTAGTTCAACAATCTTGACTTCAGGAGACCATAGTGCTAATTCCCCATCATCATCTTCTTCAGTGTTGACATCTACATTGTGATCAGCCTGAAATACCAAAAAATATAAATGCTTCAAAACACTGTCCCTTCAACTCTGAAAAGAATGTATCAGGAATCTCATAGCTTCTTCTCAAACTGGGGTTTCTCTTTGGCATGCATAGTTTTTCTTTCCAGTCTCTTCAAAAGGGGCATGCACTGGGGCGCATACACTCTGGTATAAGATCTTTATGAAAATTCAAGCACTTAAGAATGCAGACTGTTCATATAGGTTTTTTTAATGTAAAGTACCAATTTCATTCAAAGTATTAACACTGACCTCTTATACTTCAATGAGTTCTGTCATCCCATTAGAAGCATAAAAGGAAAAATATGCAATTTAAGGAAAAATGAAAACATCATATAAAGTCAAAGCTTATAAGATATTTAAGTAGCAGTACCTGAATTTGTAATTATAGTAAGAGATAAAGATGCCCACACAGAGGGAGGCCAGGACAGGACACAGAGAAACCACTTCTGTTGGCTCCTAGAAGTTTTCAAGAAAAAAAAACTGTACTAAAAAAATAAGGTGAAAAGAAATCCAAGTCTTTGGGAATCATGTAAGTCTAAAAATATAAAAATCACTGAGTTGAAATAATGAAAATCTAATCTTGGAGGAAGTAGATCAGCAACTATCCAGTACACTGGTCCTTGGTTATTTTCCTTGACCTTACACCCCCTATTCCAGCCTTCCCCTCCTTTCAGGGAAAAGAGTCACTGCCATATGAAATTCAAGGAAGCTAAATGATACAGGGTCAATGAGTCAACTATGCAGAGAAAGAATAGCTGCTCCAGCCTTGGCCGGTATGAATTAGTTGGTTGAGATTTGTCCTATGTACCCAGAGGTTGCTGGTTCGATTCCCAGTCAGGGCACATGCCTGGGTTGCAGGCTTGATCCCCAGTAGAGGGTGTGCAGAAGGCAGCTGATCAATGGTTCTCTTCCTCTCCCTTTCTCTCTAAAATAAATTAAAACATATTTTAAAAAAAGAATATTTGCTCTAACCTTATGTCTTTATACTAGTTATAGCACTGTATTATTGTTTTTATATGATTTAACTTCCCTAAAATACTATGAATTTCTACCTGAAGCTCAAGAATTATCTTTTTTTTTTTGTAGCTCTAGCAACAGGTTAGAATGAAAACTGTGCAGGCTACCATAGACTTTACCATGGTTATCCACTCCACCCACAATAATGCCTGGCTCACAACAGCCACTCGACAAATGTTTGATCATATATTAATAAATCATCCATCTTTTAGTGGCTTTCTCATGAAACTCCTTTTTAAAAAAATTAAGATATGAACTAAATAATTTTTTTAAGTAGACTTCTTGAGACTTTGGGTAGTCCCAGTAAATAAAATGAAAGTGTATTATTTCTACAAATATAATTTTGAGTGAACTGTATAAGAAAATCCATTTAAGGGAATCAAAGTTGGGGGGAACCCTTCTAACACAGAAGAGTAGGGCACCATAGCTAACACACACACATGTTTTCATTAGGATTGGTCCAGATCTCAAACTTTTCCTGCAGGATATGGAAAGTCAATACTCAATCCATGGTGGATTGACTCTAAACATGGCAACAATTTCTTGGCTCTTGAGTTACAAAACTTGAAATTAGTGGGAATGTTCTGGATCAATAACCTCTGTATATAGCAGCCTGATGTGAGGAAATGATACACTTAAAAAGAAAACACTCATCCTTTCCAATAAAAAGTAAAGTTCCAATGGTTAATACAACATGATTGATGTTTTACTGGGGCATTTAATACCCTCATTGATTAATGAGCATTAGAATTTTGGCTGAGCTGCCTCACCAGATAGAGTTTAAGAACCTAAGATGGTATTGGGATAAATGAACAAAGAGACAGATGGAAAAGAGAGCCAGGAATTAAAAATCCACATATAATTATAAAACCCAAGTTTATCGAGATTTCAAGGCATCTAAGGTATACAAGATATTATTCTCCAACCTGAAATATATCACTTTGATACAATCAATTCTGCATAACTCCTGTGTTCATAGAATGGAAAGCAATCAACTAATGGGCAGCAAGGTTGACATTTAGCATAATTCAGAGCTGTAGTTTACCCATTGTGGTCAAGTATGACAGATGGGAGGACAGAGTCAGCAAGCTGGGTTGGTGATTTACACACCTTGTAAGATTAGATTAAAGACATTTTTATCAACCTTTAGAGGTAAGCCATCACCCACATTTAATTTCAGTAAAGATAACAAGAATTTTTTTTAAAAGTGTGGTATTAGAGTTTCTTCTTTGAAGTATGTTTTATTAAAGAAAAACATCTAAAAAAAGTTTCTCAGTCAATAATTTACTAAGCACTTATATGCTCTGTAAAGAATAAAAACTATGAGATAGAAAATAATTTTAAGATATGTCCTCTGCCCACAGGAGCTGACGGTTTCCTGGTAAAAACAAGCCTAGTGGGTGTCTGTGACTTGAAGACAGTGCTATGCTAGATACTTCCGCCCTTTCGAATATCAGAAAACAAAGATGGGTGAACTGGAGGAGTCAAGAATAGCTAACGCTAACTTTTACTGAGCACTTTCCACGTGCAATGCATTGTGCCAAGAACTTTTTTTTTTAATTGACTTTTTAGAGAGAGAGGAAGGGAGAGAGAGATAGAAACACCTATGTGAGAGAGAAATGTTGATTGGGTGCCTTCTGCACGCCCCCTACTGGGGATCGAGCCCACGACCAGGGCACATGCCCCAACCAGAATTGAACCAGGATCTCTCAGTTCATGGGATGCTGCTCAGTCCACTGAGCCACACCAGCAGGGTGTGTGCCAAGAACGTTTACTGAGCACTTTCCACGTGCAAGGCATTGTGCCAAGAACTTCACATACATTACTTCATCTCCTCCTCATACAAACTGACAGGGTGGCTAACTCCTCTAAGTCTCCCCACTTTTCTGTTCAATATGAACAGAAAGTCCAGGTATTGCTCAAAGATTCACAATCTTTAAGCGGTAGAGTAGGATTAGAGTCCCTATATTTTGAAATTCAGACCATAAGCCGGTGCAAGGGGAGGCCCATGCATCTAAACATGTATTAATGGAATTATAATCTAGAAGAGTCTGGGAAGGTGGAAGTGGCATAAAAGATGAGGTTACAAATGGCATAAGATGACAAAGCCTGTGCTTAAAACTGTTTTCATAATTGCACTGCTCTTTTAAAACAGAGTACCAAGAGCACAGCAAGTGTTATTTTATTCTCTGACCTTCTGAAGGCTTTTACAGCAGTTTTTAGACTCACTTCGAAATTGGTCATAGATCTTCATATTTTTAAGGCTCTGAAAAAGGGGAAGTCCATTAGATATTCAACACTCGCCGACATCTTAAACTTATTAAGATGAACTAAGTGAAACTGGGAGCTAAAAGTATTGAGCCCAGGCACATACTAAAAAAAAAAAAAAAAATGGAGGGGTCTCTAAAATCCAAGTGCATACACAATAATGTTACAATACTGCAAGGGAAAAAAAGAGAAATTTTATGACAGTAAAAGAAAAGTAACAATTTGAAAGCTATGTATCACTGCCTTTGAGAGTTACTGTAGTCAAATAAAAGAAGGGGGAAATGTTTTCTCTCTCTTCACACTGTAATACACTCTTGGGGTACCCCTGAAGAATAGGCATGCCTGTGGGAACCACAGGACATTCATTTAGTACCTCCATCTCAGGAAGAGAGGCTCCAGTGGTCCTTCTTGGTTCATCTACAGAGGCTTCATCATCAAACAACCGTCGACAGCAAACCAAGGTAAAAGGGGGTGGCACTTCTTTAAGAAAGGAGACCGCTTCTCGGCGAGATTTCCCATAGAGCTGCACACCATTGACCTAGAAAGACAAGGGTAAGTCAGAATTAAGGAGGCTTTAAATGAAAAAACAAACAAACAAAAACCTCTGGATTATATCAACTTATCAAAATGAAAATAGGATAGTGTTTTACTTCCCCTGTAAACAAAAGACCTAAATTTAACATTATTTTAGTAGTAACTAAAAACATTAGAAATCCTTACAATTTATAAAAACTAAGGCTAAACCTTTACTGAACTTGGGTGAATCAAGCATAAAATGTGGGCAGAGTACCATTTTTACTAGGTATGCAATCTGCCTATTTTTCATACCTCCCTCGTTTTTCCTTTCTATATGCCAATGTTGTATTCTCTCATCTACTTCTACCCATCTCTCCTTAAACACTTTCAATATCATCTACAGTCTTTTTTTTTTTCCTTTATTGATTTTAGAGAAAGAGGAAGGGAGAGGGAAAGAAACATCAAGGAGAGGGAACATCAACTGGCTGCTTCCTGCATGCCCCCCACTGGGGATTGGACCCACAACGTGGGCACGTGCCCTGACCAGGATTCAAACTGGCGACCTCTTGGTGCATGGGTCAATGCTCAACCACTGCGCCACACCGGCCGGGCACAATTACAGCCTTCTTTTTTTTTTTTTTTTTTAATCCTCACCCGAGGATATTTTTCCATTTTTTGTACAGATAGAGTGGGAGGGAGAGAGAGGAGGGGAGAGACAGAGAGAAACATCGACATGAAGGGACACATCGAGTGGCTGCCACCCGCACGACCAACCAGGGACAAACTGCAACCGAGGTACGTGCCCTTAGCGGGAACCGAACCTGTGACTCTCCGGACCGCAGGCCGACGCTCTAACCGCTGAGCCAAACTGGCCAGGGCCAGTTACAGCCTTCTTAAGACCATTTCCTCTTGCTGTTTCATTTTGTAAGAATATCACTACAGATATTAACACTAATTTTAGGGCTGTTAATAGCTGCTGAACTTACAACATGTAGGTAACAAAGTCTAGGCTACTAGGCTGTCAAAATTTAGCCTCAGTCACAATTTTCTTTCATATCCCATAAACTCTTAATGCCAGGCTGAGAAAAATCACTTCATTAGAAAAGTGCAAATAACACTGCATCATTTCTATCTTACACACTCTGCTGACACAGTCATCAATTGTGGAAAGTGTCAGGTTTTCAAATTATTTTATGTGTTTAAAAGAATAAAAAGATAACTATTCCTTAATAATGAATAATGCATATCACCAAAAAGTATCTAAATTTAATATTCTTTGTAGTGCATAAGAACAATATTTTGCACCAAACATGATCTATAAAGATGTCTATTCCAACTTTCCACATATATGACTTCAGCTCAAGGAGCCCTGCCAGTTCTGACTAAAACTCACAAAAAGCTGATCTGCCTGCTACTCCCAAAAGGCTGAGGCATGAACACAATCCGGGCAACAAATAATCTTTTCACATCTAACTCGACCTTCCTGGGAGGGTTCAGCAACATTATCAGTTTAGAAGACATTTCTGGTCTGGCATTAATTTGTGACAGGTGCAGTGCTCATGTCCAGATATCGGGCAGGGCCGCCTTTCCACAAAGTCTGTCATTGCCCAGAGAAGAAGAGCACAGTGGGTTGTTGGAAGCATCCCATCAGCAGTGATCTGAGTCCCCAATCAGTTGTCCCTGGGAACCACTCTCAGGCCTGCAGCACACCAAGCACTTAGCCATCAGGCCAGACAATCTCTCTGCCTCTTAATTATTTACAAAGAAATCACTACATAGTAAAGAGACCCACATGTGCTTCAGGGAGCTAACCCTAGTGGAAAAGTAAGTATCATCTCCCAAGACTTTATGACTGATAAAGGGCCCAGGGGATGGCAAGTTCAGCAGCAGATGAAAGGTTTTCCTTGAAAGAATTACAAGCCAATCTTCACACAGAAATGGGCAAGGGAGCTACCCATCACTGGTCACACCATGTCCATGGTGCAAACCAGTGCCAGAGCACAGAAAGTTCTAAAACCAACCAAATGGGCAGTAACCTACACTGAAAATAAAACAAGCACAGTATCAGTCTGTGTCTCACATGACTTCAACAAATTAGAAAATCACTTTTCAGGTTTTCATCTTGGAGTACATTTAAATATTTATTTAGCTCATTATTTATTCATTGGAATTGTCTCCAGTTATTATAGCAGTGCCTGGTAGTCCTCCTCCCTGTGCTCTATCGCTGAAGGGATTGGTCACATTTCCCATTACCAGCTCCTACCTAAGGGGATTTATGGCTGTTGTAAATAGTTGCTCTGGGCTGAGACTTGGCACAGTGTTCTAACCCCAAAGCATAGTATTGTGTTTCTGGTTTTAAACTCCAAGGAGTACATTAAACACACACACACACACACACACACACACACACTTTTAAACTCCAAGGAGTACATTAAACACACACACACACACACACACACACACACACTTTAAGCTTAGTAGTTTATTTGGCTAACTTTACAGAAATTCTTTTATTTTTAATGTCTATATTTGGGTACTCAGAAGCAGCCAATTTTTACTTTAGCGTTCACAATATTTCTCTAGGCCCTTCAACTGGAGACCCTCTAAAGTGCTGTCAAGTCTCCACTGTTCATACTGTGATGAGAAGACGCACCTACACGTGCTCATCTGCAGAGCACATAATACTGCACAAGGACTGAGCACTACATTACCTCATTCAGTCCTTGCTCATCCGATCCCATAGAGACTGTGTATGCCTTTCCCTGGTGACAATATTGCTGATGTCTCACAGTGACGTAATGCTTTATAGTTTGCATGGATGATACTCCGTTAGATCCTCATAAGCACATAGTGAAGTAGGCATTTATTGATGAAGAGACTGATTCTCAATAAGTGACAGGTCAAGGGACATGGTTAAGCTGTGGCAAATTTGGAACCAAAAGCAGCTCTTCTGACTTTCAAACCTGTGCTTCTTTCTATATCCCAAGTTCTTTCACCAAAAATCTATACTTTCAACAGCAAGTCTTTATGCTACCTTATCATAGCACATTCTATCACAAGGTTGAAGGCCCATGGGATTCTCATCTTGGCTAAGGCACAGGCGACTCAGTTGATGGCTGGGGTCACTGATAATTGCTCCACTCAGATCCAGCTAATATTTCTTTATCACTTGCCACATACTAGTAGTGAATTATACTTACAGCCACAGAATTATACACAGAAATGTTTAAAATGTAAATTATATGTTATGTATACTTTACCAGAAAAAAAGTGAACTAAACTGGTTTTTGCTCATATTTCTACATCTCCCAAATTAATATATCACATGTCTCAATATCTAACAACTATATATTAGAGAAATGGTTTCCAAATGGTCTCCAATGTACAGATTACCATGTCTGATATCCACAAAGCTAGGCTATATGCCCAGTGAATCAGGAATAAAGACATAATTCAGAACAAATAAAAAATCATAAGTGACACAGTAAAATGTAGGGTACTCATTTGCCAAAAAGCATCCCAATATCATTTTTTATACAACTCTAAAATAACTAACTAAATTTTACAACAGGACTTCAACACCCTGCCCTCCCAAGCTTATGACAATTAGTCATAGCACTTTGCCCTCTGACCTTGAAACTCAACATACTCTTCCTGGTGGCTGGACACTCCTAAAAAAATTGCAGTTGCACTCAACAAGAAACCTGTTTGCTATCCCTGTCATTGCACTTGGAGCAAATAAAAAATTTAGAAAGAAATGTCTACAATCAAGGCTCGTGGGATTCTAATCTTGGCTAAGGTTACTAGGTGATCCTATTAAACCCAACCTAGAGCTTCTTGTGGTTCCTAACTTTGGGGAGAAAGAAGCCTCTTCTATGTAGTATTCTCTAAGTCTGACCATTCCTCAAATTTTTTTTTAATAAGCTTAGGAAGTAGTATTGTGGGTTTATTTTTTATTTTTTTAAGTGAAATGGGAGTTAGAACACATGAACTAAAGTGATTCTATCAGTGTATAAAGTTGGAGGAAATCAACGTCTTATTTTCCTATATGTAAAATTAGGGGTTTCAGTGTGGATTGGGTTCATGGTATTAGTTATAGAACTTTCCAATCTAACAAAATCTCTCAAGACAATCAGGTCAAAGGAGAAGTGTTCTAGAATTGTCTGACTGAAGAGTGGTTGGGAGACTGAGTGAGCCCACTAGAGGCTACCATGTTGTGGGAAGGGAGTCCCAAGGAGACAATCTGAAAACCAGTGCAGATTGCATAAGCCCAAGGTCACCCAGCTCTAGTCTTTCTTAAAAATAATCGATAAAACATGCTAGTAAATGTCACTACATGTTTTAAATAAGGGTCATGAATTAGATTCTTAAAAAGAATTTAGCACCCTGGCCGGTTTGGCTCAGCGGTTAGAGTGGCAGCCTGCACACCAAAGGGTCATGGGTTCAATTCTGATCAAGGGCATGTACCTGGGTTGCAGGTTTGATTCCCTAGCCCTGTTGGGGGTCATGCAGGAGGCAACCAATCAACGTGTCTCTCTCACATGAATGTCACTTTCTCTGTCCCTCTCTCTAAAAAAATCAATGGAAAAATATCCACTTTACAAAGTGGGTGAGGATTAACACCAAAAAAGAGAAATTGAAAAAAAAAGAATTTTGTTCAAAAAAAATACTAATTATGCTATCAAAATAAAATAGGACATTAGCTTCTTTCTGAGTCAATTATTTAAACAAGCACTCAGACATCTCAGGAGTCCCAAAAGACGGAGAAAATGATGTTAAAGTATATTACCTACTTCCTTCATCATTACATAAACTGTTAGTATTTTTGTCTTTTATTTAGTTTTTCCAGCTTCCCTGGGATATAATTGACATATAACATTGTGTAAGTTTAAGGTATGTAATGTGATAATCCAATAGACATACATGTATTGTGAAATGATTACCACAATAAGGATAGTTAACAATTCCATCATCTCACAGTTACCATTTATGTCTGTGTGTAGTGAGAACACTTACGATCCCTCAGCCACCTTGAAGTACACAATACCATATTAAGTAGAGTCACCAAAGTTTTTTTCATTCTAAGTGTCACATTTCACCGGCACTCATGATAATATAACTCAGTAGATTTTTATTGAGAACACATTTTCCTTGAGCTTAAAAGTTCCTGTCTATCCCTCATAAATTTTACCTCAAGGAGCTCATCCTCTGGCTGAAGGAGTCTCAGTGTATCAATAGGACCACCTGGAACAATCGAAGAGATATAATGGTGCCCATCGAAGGAATCAACTTCCATGCCAAGCCTCAGAGTGTGAATGGGCAGGAGCTGCAAAAAAAGAGAGCACTAATATCAAACACCGCAAGGACACAGCAGGCTGTTCATTTCCCATCAGGTATTTGACATAAAAGCCCCACCCCTTGAGTCAGATCACCAAAATCCAAAAAGTGAACCATAGGGGGAAACCAGCCTCAAGTAAAATATGAAGTTGCTTGTCGTCTTCTCCTCATTCCTCTTTTCATTTTAGATTCCCTGAAAATACAGCAGCAGGTGTACAAAGTCCTGCCTCCAGTTCTAAACTCCAGGCACTCCTAACTCCCCAGGTTCCCAGTGTTGGTTCTGCTTCCCTTTTCTGCGGGGCTTCCCATCTCCCAGAATGTCCTAACTCCTCTTTCTGTTCTGACTTCCACGCACACTTCAGTACAAAAGCACTGTCACTTCCAGAAGGTAATTCCTGATGTCCATCCGGGGTCCAATGCCACCCTCTGCACACTGCCATCACGGCTCACTACACACCGTGTTTAAAAGGTCTGTTTTCTTGGTTGCTCCCCTTGCTAGAGTACAGGGTTTTATCTTTTCTCTCTATAACCTCAGGCCCTGAAACAGTACCGGGCACTAAACATGGGCTCATTAAATGTTATTTGACTGTAACTGAAAATTTTTTTTAATTAAAAAAATGTTTTTTGAACTAATCCAGGAAAGATGATACCTCATTCAAGATCTCCGTCTCACCAACTTAAGTGAAAAACAACTTCTGATTTGTGGGGAGGTATGGGTGTATAATAAGAGGTAATCATTACTCCACCCTAAGACTGATGCTGTTGGCTTAAAAGGATTTATATGAGTTAGGAAATGGGTCAAGAACTAAGAAACTAGCCAATGTCAAAGTAAAGAGATGAGTGTTTTGATGTTGTTGGCTGCGAAGGTCAAAGGCATTCACCAAACTCCATTCCCTTGACTTTCTCATTTCAACTGTATAAACTCAACTATGGTAAATAGTACCGATTATGATTTGTATTTCCTATATCAATAGTCTGTTTATCTAAAAACAGCCGTCTACCCCCAACTGTAGACGTGATAAGGAGAAAACCCCACACAAGGCAGCAATACAACCACAGCGTGGCTCTTTCCCTCCTGCTCCCTATTTTCTGTGACCTCTGAGCTTGTCACCTCCCTTCTGCCTTCTGCTCTGAGTCCCCAGAGTCCCACAGGCCTTGCCTCAGACACCACCTGGGGCTCATTTCCATCTCACTACAGACACACAGACAAATTTGAAGTGGCAAGCAGTCCTGCTGACTAAGACCTCAATGACTTAAAATAGGCATAAATGATTTTTGGCCCTGGGCTAATTTTCTGAAAAGTAAGTGCTCCTGACCAGCAGGCACCTCAGAAGCTACAACCACTTCTGGCAATAAGATGTTCTAGCGCTCTAAATGGAAGAGAAAGATTGTTGTTGCCCTCATTCCCTCTTTCTGATTTATTTCTCACTGCTGCCACCTGTCCTCTTGTCTTGTCACTGTACCAAATCTGACTGCTGAGCTAGGAGACATTCGTGTCATCTTCTTGAGGTGTAGGTGGTGAATAAAAACTCTCAGAGAAATGTTTCTGTAATAACAATTTACCCGCCCGCTCCCTTCTTTTGTGTATAAGCCAACCACTAGGGCAGAGAGTGGTCAGTGGTCTACACAAGTCATCTCCAGCGGGGTGCTGAAGCCTACTTATAAGAGCAGATTGTTCAATTTCCAGAAATTTTGCAAGCCACTTGTTAAATATACTCATTATTAAAAATTAGATTATGTAAGATTACACTGAAATAAATAATACTAAAAATAAATGTAATAACTACTCAAAATCCACCACTTCCTAATTATTTTTAACACATTTTATCCATGTTCTTGCAGTGACTTCTATGTGTGATATGTGTATGGTAGAAATACTCTCTAAGAACTTAGAGACGCTGAAAGGTGAACTGAAAAAGATGAAACGACTGATTTGTTTAGCTGCTAAATACAGCTGGATTGGGTAATGCCACAGTCCTGCTCCCATGAAGAAACCCACAACAGTGAAGTGCTGTTGTGAATCCCTTCCCAGCTCCGAGGTTTCAGTGATGTCATTTTGGTAGCTTGAAATCTACCACGACGGGACTGTTTACACCAGATACCGGTAAATGCTACAAATTGGAACTGCTCTTTTCTTTTTGCGAGCTACGTTTTACCAGCATACCACTCATCTGCAATCTATTTTGCACATGCTCTCTAGCATATATTTGTAGAATATAAACTATGTGTAAGGATTTGAACTATGAGATGGAATTATAGGGTAAATGAAAGAAACAGTCTCTACCCTTGTGGAACTAACATCTAGTGTGGACACACACAATAAACAAGCAAGAGAGAAAGCTGATACAAGCAGACAAATAAGGAAGCAAATAATTCAAATGAAAAATAAACAAATGAATAAACAAATGAATAAGCAAACAAATGAAAAATAAACAAATAATTATGAATTGTGGTAAGTGCTGTGAAGGAACTAATATGGGTCAGGACATCAGATGTAATTGGTGCAGGCCATTTTGGAAAGATGATCAGAGTAGGTTTCACAGAGATGGGGACACATTTAAGGTGAGACTTGAAGGATAAGAATGAATCAGCCCTACAAAGACCCACCTGGGGACTCATTGTGGGAGGTAAGTGAAAAAGATGAATTGCTAAGTTTTTGGTTTGAGTAACTGAGTAGACAGTGGTAGCAATTTCTGCATAGAAATAAGTGCCCAAATTAAAACAAAGATATTGCTGTACATAGAGATCTTTGCTACTTATATAATAATGTGTCCCACACAAAAAAACCAAAGGATTAAGGAGGGAACTGATTCCAATCTCCTGTTCCACCCCTTTACCAATCCTGCTATTCACATGGTTGACCCCACATCCACAGAATAGTTGACACCAAGAATAGGTTGAAGCCCTGAGGAGCAAGAGAGGCTTACCCATGGAATCCCTTGCTCACCAGACACAAGGCTCAACCCTTCAGGACTATTCCAGCTCATATCTATAAACACAACACGCTCCCTGGAAACTTAAAACCATGAGCGAGACACACATGCTCCATCTTTAATCATGCTGAGCAAATAAATCAGAAATGATGTTTACAAAATCTGTCAATCTGAAAGAGGCCTACCTAATATTAGTTCTGAATCTAAATCTGAGTACAGCTGGGTTTCTGAGACTTTGCATTACATTGCTGCAGGCTTCTCTGCAGGAGCAGAACTGTTTAATTACCTGTCTCAGCGGCATTTAGCAACTAAACAAATCAACCATTTCCTCTGTCTCATTAGTTGTCCATTCCTTTGGTGTTCTGAGAGAGAGAGAGAGAGAGAGAGAGAGAGAGAGAGAGAGAGAGCAGACAGTGCTAAAATGACAGGAGCAGGTGCAACAGCCAGATGATAGACATCTTCACACACATCAAATGTTATGTTTTTTGATGCTTATTCAATGCACTTTGCGCCCTGGCCAGTTTGGTTCAGCGGTTAGAGCGTCGGCCTGCGGTCCTGAGAGACCCGGGTTCGGTTCCCGCTAAGGGCATGTACCTCAGTTGCAGTTTGTCCCTGGCCCTGGTCGGTTGTGCGGGTGGCAGCCACTCGATGTGTTCCTTTCACATCGATGTTTCTCTCTCTCTCTCTGTTCCTCTCTCTCCCTCCCACTCTACCTGAACAAAAAATGGAAAAATGTCCTCGCGTGAGGATAAAAAACAAACAAACAAACAAACAAAAACAAAATCAATGCACTTTGCAATGGGTCCTATTGAAATTGACAAAGCTAATGAGCAGCAGGATTGTCATGATCTTAATATGACAAGTACAGGGTACAAGGAAATGTATCCAAGGAAAGTATGACCATGGTGTGATTTAATGTCAGTGCTAAAATGATAAAGATCAATGAGATCAAGAAACCTATAGGACCCTGGCCAGTTTGGCTAAGCGGTTGGAGCGTTGGCCTGCGAACCAGAGAGTCCCAGGTATGGTTCCCACTAGGGGCGTATACAAAAACAAACAAACAAACAAACCTATAGGTCTTCAACCCATGAGTTGGAGATACCTGACATGAAATAAACCACAGCTCATTCATTTTGCTCAAAGCTCTGCTTTTAGGACCTTAAAACAAGATATCAAAACACTCAAGTGGGAATATAAATGATGTTACTTCAGGCGTGAGGGACTTCTGGAAAGGAACAGATATGTCAGTGGCATGGGAAGAATGCGTCTATAAATGTTGAACTCAAAATAAAACAGAACAGAAAGAACCCCATGATTAGTGAGAGAGAAAGAGAGAGAGAGTAAATAGCCATTTATGTTTAAAGATTAGGGGGAAAGAGATACTAACTTTACCACAAATAATAAACAAACCCTAAGGACAAGGCTACACCTATGAAACTAAGAGTGAAACCCAGCATAATGGCCTCGAAAGTTAGGTGTGCTCACTCAGGTTATGCAAGACAATCAATCAATCAATACCTTGGAGCTTGATTTTTATATTAGTTTTTCTCACCCATCTAAAATTTTAATGCTGGAGGTTCAAAAAATACACACTATGTGCTCTGTTGTACAGAAATATATTGGAGGTTCTCTTCAGTTTCCTAACACCAAGGTCAAGTGTCAGTGGTCACTGACAATCTCAGATATCATTTATGTCACCTGTCTGGTCCATGTGATATCCGAGACTTCAACACCTGATCTAACACTTTGTATTATGACTCTTTCTCTCCCTATGTTCATGGTATTTCCTCCACCTGGAATATCCACTGTTCTTATTTCTGAAATCCCAGTTTTTTCAGAGTATAGTTCAAATGTCTTCCTCCCAATAAACTTCCTTCATCTTAAAGAAGTAACACTTCCTTAAATACACATAAGACATTTTAGCAATACCTGAGCAATGATTCTCAACGGGGCAAGGCAAGGATGGGATCACAATATCCTTTAGAGGCCTCACCCCAAACCTACAGACTCAGAATATTGGTCAGGAGGAAAAAAAAGAAGGCAACTGCATTTTGAA